CTGGCCCAAAATGTCAAGCGGACCAAGGTCCAATTCCGTCTCCGGTCTCCTAATTGTCTGTATAGCTCATTTGGTTCAAGATGAACCAATGCCAGGTTTCATCTAGCCTGTCACGTGTAGCATGTCTTCGCCTCACTATGTAGCAAGCTTCTAAAGAAAGGTGTTGGTACTAGCCTTCGTTCATCCACAAATGGGCCCTGCATTGTGTGATATCCTCTCTGGGCACTAGGTTCAAGCGCTAGGGAACAGGCTAAACCAGATGACCTACGCGCCTGCTTCGCTTTACAGTGGCGGAGAGAGGCACGCCAGCTGCTGCTGTCTTGCCTGACTCTGCAGATGAAGCCAGATGAACACAATGCGTTGAGTGCAAAACCTGAAATGTTTAAACTGATAACCGATGCTTTGTTTTTTCAAAGCCTTTGAGGGGGGAAAAAAAACCCCAACATAAATAAAGGCTTCTAAAAGCAAGAGGTTTCTGTTTTTAGCTATCTGTCTGATTCATTCATCTTGACTTGTTTATTCATTTATCCATCAGAATACGAAAGTTTCGGTAGCCTGGAGGAAAAGAACATCCGTTCACGTCAGGAAGCTAAAAAAAAAAAAGACCACAGCCAGCCCTTCCTTAGATATTATTTCCAATCTGTGGCCCGAGGGCGGCAGCGAGGAAGCGTCTGCCAGAGTAGCCCCATCCCCCTCAGCTAAGCTGCAGGGAGCTAACCCCAGGGAAATTCATCCCTCATGAAAGCACAGCTCGGTTTGCTAGAAAGGCAGTTAACCTCGTGGAGAGATTTTCTAAGTAAAGTCTCAGAGTAACAAGTTAAGAAAAAAGCTTGGATTGAAATAGCATTTTTCTTGCAAAGGATTATCGGAATTAAAGCTGTACCCCTCCTTTCATCCTCTACCCCATCCTTTAAGAAAAAAAAAGAAAAAAAAAGAAAAAAAAAGCCTGCACCTTGTCTAGCTGCCTGTCGTCAGAAATGTTGTGTGAAGAATGTTCTGAACTAAACTAAACCGAGACTCTGAGGATGGGCTTGCGCTTCCCGGAGAAGCTGAGTGTCCGGGAGCTCGTCTGAGGACAGTGTGCTGTACCTGCCCTCCTGCCGCGCAGGCCGCCACCAAGGCGTACTGGCCTCCATCCTTCCGCAACCTGTTGGCAGCTGCCATGACCAAGCGGCAGCCAGTGGCTCCAAACGGGTGTCCGAGGGACAGCGATCCACCCCAGGTGTTGAACTTCTCTAAAGGAGGTGCTCCAACCTGGCTCCCAGAAAACAGAAGCGCATGTTAAGGACAGGTTTTTAATACCGGAGGGGCTCTTTGTGAGCGAGAACAACTGTGAAGTTGGGAAAGAAGGGGCTTTAGGACAGGAACTGCACAGATAACTTTACTGCAAAAGGAAAAGGCTCGCGGCCACTATGAACGTCAGTGCCAAACAATCCACACTGATGCCATCAAGTAGATTTCAGCCCGCAGCAACCCTACAGGGCGGGACAGAACTGCCCGAGACAGTGCCTTTACAGGAGTAGAAAGTCTGGCCTTCCTTCCTCAGAGAGGCTGACAGTTTCTAACCGCTGACCTTGTGGTTAGCAGCCCAACGCAAAACTACTACGCCACCAAGGCTCCCTTTCTGAAGGATCTATTTATTTTTTTCCTCTAACATCAGTGTGAAGAACAAAAGACAACACAGAAATTTTGCTTTTATTTTTGCTAAAGAATTCCCAGTAAATATTTTAAACTAAAAAATCCATAAATGTTGCGAATCATTAAGATCTTTCATATGAAGG